AGTTCGAAAGTTTACAAAAGAAAGTAGGAGGACTTTTATCGATGAACAGCTTCTTATCAACAAGTGCTCAAAAAGCCGTTGCTATGCACTTTGCTCGCAGCTCATTAGGCAGATCAGACATTACGGCAGTTCTGTTTGAAATGATGCTTGATACCGAGAAATGTAGGCAACCATTCTCAAATATAAAAACAGTGAGTGGTTTTAGTGCAGAAGATGAATTCTATTTTCGATGGGCACCGTGTTTCGGATTGTCTCGATAAAGAAGCTGAAGAAAGAAGGCATTTGGAATGTTCAGCTAGAACTGAATGGAGACGAAGACATAGAGTTAAGCGTGTTAACAAACCATATAAAGCGTGAACTTGGTGAATCGAACAACTTGAACACGTTGGGTATGTTGCTGATCAGAATGGGTGAAAATAGTAGAGTAGAGCAATATTTCCATATGTTGCTCGATGACACCTCGCTAGATCAAAGTGCTCATGCATCAGCACATAATAACCTCGGAAGAGTTTATGACAATCAAGGTGATTATGAGAAAGCATTGAAATTTTATGAAAAATCTCTTGAAATTAGATTGATTTCACTTCCACCAAATCACCCTGGTATTGCAACAACATATAATAACATCGGAAGCGTTTATGACAATCAAGGTGATTATGAGAAAGCATTGAAATCTTATGAAAAATCTCTTGAGATCTATTTGATTTCACTTCCACCAAATCACCCTGATATTGCAGCACCATATAATAACATCGGAAGAGTTTATGACAATCAAGGTAATTATGAGAAAGCATTGAAATCTTATGAAAAATCTCTTGAAATTAAATTGATTTCACTTCCACCAAATCACCCATCTATTGGAACAATATATAATAACATCGGAAGAGTTTATGACAATCGCGGCGATTATGAGAAAGCATTGAAATCTTATGAAAAATCTTTTGAGATCTATTTGATTTCACTTCCACCAAATCACCCTAATATTGCAACAACATATAATAACATCGGATCAGTTTATGACAAGCAAGGTGATTATGAGAAAGCATTGAAATCTCACGAAAAATCTCTTGAAATCAGTCTCATTTCACTTCCACCAAATCACCCATCTATTGCAACAACATATAATAGCATTGGATCAGTTTATGACAATCAAGGTGATTGTGAGAAAGCATTGAAATTTTATGAAAAATCTCTTGAGATCTCTTTGATTTCACTTCCACCAAATCACCCTGATATTGCAACAACATATAATAACATCGGAAGAGTTTATGACAATCAAGGTGATTATGAGAAAGCATTGAAATCTTATGAAAAGGCGCTTAGTATCGTACGAAGGACATTGCCGCTTGCTCATCCTACTCGGCGTGTGATCGAGTCAGCTGTAACGACTGTACGTGAAAAGCTTTCGAAGTAGAGAAATATTTTCAAACGCACGACACAGTGTGCATTTTTCCATAGGCAGGGCCGACATTTGCTGTGGAAGTAGTCTGAAAGTCTATAAACACTTCTTTTCAGGTTTTCAGATATGCTCTTTCCAATGGTGTGTTGTTACCACGTTTTAAAGTTTCCGATTCCAGGCTTGATTTTTCTCTTGCATCCCAACGTTTTGCTGGCTGCGTGGTGTAAATGTACTTCTCAAGCTAGTTTGCGTTTTTTCAACCTTCGAAGGGATTAAGATATCGCCTAATAGTGATAATACTCTTTCTCGCTGTACACATAAATTACAAATGCTACACGAGCTTCGGTCCGATCGACCCGACCAAAATACTTTGTGGCCCAAGCCAGGCCCGGCCCGATCTAAAGGGTTTTCTAGCTAGACCTAGCTCTACCGGTGCGGAGCTCTGATACTGAACTAGGCGAATGAGTTTGAGAAAATTCATGGGTTAAATTAAGTCTTCGAATACATTCTTAGAAATAAACTTTCAATACATAGAAGTTTACATAAAATTCGTCTCGAGTTTGAGTAAAACATTTTGTTACTATGCCAAAGGACAGAATTTTGCGTGGCACTTCAAGTGCTTCAGATTCTCAGATAAGTACTTGCGGGAGATTTCGGTACTTTTTGGTTTTTTTCTATATATCTCTTCTAGATTTAAATATGTCGAAAGATAGCACGCAAAACTACATAAAGTTTAGGTACGCTTTTCTGAGATATCATAGTAAAACAAATCGTAATGTATGTATTTAGAAAGGTCGACTTCTATAACTTTGCACCATATGTGTTTGCAGACCACATGTTAGTGCCCTTCGAAGATGCACTTACTGCTCTTAGGTCACAAGTGGTAGAAATGTTGTGAACATACAGTTAGAAAGCTGTTGAAATGTAGATTCTAAATAGCTATTTTTCAATTTTCCAAAACATGTTGTAGCAGAAGAAAAACGAAGGGACATTTTTCGAGGAACTTTTACAACTCCTGTTATAAGCTATCTTATGATAATTCACTATTTTTAAACTTGATGAAACTTTATTTGATTTGACATCTAAAATTCTTTATTGATGTTTCATTTAAATTTGAATTAAATCACGTGCATTTATTGGTAATTGTTCTCTATAACTATCATTTATGATTTCATTTTGAATTACATTTTTTGAAAATATTTGTATTAAATTCGTCTAAATCATTGAAAATTTTATTATTACATGTCCATTGTGAACGAATATTAATAAACGATGGTGTCGTTGTGAGCCCCCCTCCTTGCAAATTTTCCTTGCAAAATTCCTGAAAATATCATCAGAGGTGTTCCAGACAGACGCGGTTTTCTACAGAACCAGAGCCTAATTAAAAAAATTCCTTCGCCTCATCCGAAGGAGTATCGAGTGCCCCAATAAATAAAAAAAGCCGCAGCTCTCTATAATGAACTGTATCTGAAAAAAATTTGCGCGACGTTTGACTACCAGCTTAAAAATCGATTTTGAGAAAAACGCTAACTCTTTCTACACGAGACACACTAATTAGCGCTTTTCGAATAACTTAAACACGATAAAAGACAGAGATTTGCAGTCTTCAGAAATCGAAAGAAAATAGTTTTGGCTATATTTTCTGAGCAAAATCTTTTTCAAAAAATATTCAGAAGATTGGTTTTCTAGGAGGTCTTTAGAAAACCAGTTAGGATCTCCGGATATTGAGATAGAAATCTATCGGTTTTTTTCCATAGATATACAATCCAGAGTGTCCTCTGCAAAATGGGACCCAAGCGGACTCTTAATTTTCCCTGGTTCAGATGTGGTATCGCAGTTCCTAAGAGTCCCAGAATCAATATTTCTTTAGATGAGGTAATCCCGAAGACGAATGGAAACATAGGTAATGAATCATACTGAATCTTGTGGCAAACTTTATTTTTCAAATAAGTTCCAGAAACCTAGTGAAAATCTATATGAGGTAAAATAACCCATTTTTGTCTATTTCTGAGTAAAATTAAAAAATTCATAACTCAGTCAAAATCCATCCAAATTATGTCAGACTAGCA